AACAACACCTGACTTCAAAATCAGTCAATTTTACTGTTATGCTTGGGTGCGATTCTTTTGATTTACATCAAACTAGTCAATGTCAAATTACAATAGGGATTTTCATATTTGGGAATGTATTTTAGTACTATAATGGAAAATTCTACTAGTACTTCTTGGATTTTGCAAGTGCCTGAATGTTTACATTTGTGATTATCAGGACGCTGACCACACCCACTGAGGAAGACTGGCCTGGAGTGACAAACATGCCAGACTACAAACCAACCTTCCCTAACTGGAGGACAAACCAGCTGGCCTCTGCGGTCAAACAGCTGGACAACACTGGTCTCGACATCTTACAGGTAAATATTACGACAAAGCTTTAGCACAAGGTACATTTCAGTAAAGCAATTCTCAAAAGATGTTTTTTTAACTTTGACCTATTCAGCCTTAATTTCATTGGCATGTGAAATATTTCATAACTGTTCTATCATCTGTTGGTAGAACATTTTTTAATTGAATTGATTTAAAAACATATATCCCATCCCAGGACTGCAGGGTGTGTTTAGATGTAACACCTTTTGAATTTGAATAATAAAATCAACCGTGGATAAGAGTCCTGGGCCCGTATTCCTGAATTCGTTCTCGTGCTCAAGCATGGATACTGTGCTCAAACCAACCTTCTTGTAACTCACTTAAATCATGGGCCGAGGTCTGGAAGATCTTTTATAGGAATAGCCTTTAGCGTTATGACTTGGTAAACTTGTATATTGGAAAAAAATAAATATTTTAAGTTGTTGCAATTTTCATTTTTTTTTCAGCAAATGTTGATTTACGACCCTGCATATAGAATCTCTGCCAAGAGGGCGCTGAACCATACCTACTTTGCCAACTTGGACAAGTCCGGGCTTCCAGCAAACCTCACGGCGCCAACATTTTGATCTCTAGTCACAAAAGATAACAAATATTGAACTTGGACCTCATGAATACACACATGTATTTGTCCGCCAGATGAACAAAAAACAGGCACAGGGTTCCTATTCATGTGCTTATGATTGCAGGAAGAAGTTTTATGCAAATATTGACTTTCCTGCGATATGGGAAAAAAATAATCAACAGGAAAAATGTTTGATAGTAAGTCAAAACTGTTCAGAAGCAAGATGGTTCAACTTCAGGATGTGCTTTTGTGCATGTTGAGTGCCTATTGACATTTATGTACTTTTATGCATGACAGTGCTGTATGGAACAGTGAAGTGATAAAGTCATTTATAGCATTTCCATTGGAGACCATGGATAATATGTATATAGTGTGAAGAAAGGTGACCTCATGGATTTTATCATATCTTGGATCATTCCTCAGTTGTAGGAGGTGTTGTGTAAAATCGGCAAATTAGGCCAAAATCTGAAAGTTGTGTGTTACATGTTTGTCAGTCTGAAACAACATACACACTTCCGTAAGGTTTTATAAAGCCAGTTATTAATAGGCAATATAAAAAGCAAGATCCTTGATTTTTCTTTGTTTTTTTTAATTGTGTGTAAACTCTACTGTAAAACATATTACCCGTACCTGCAGATATTGATTATTAAAAGGCAAAATTTGTCACCATTTGTCCGATTTGGCCTTTTTGAGTGATGGGGAATACTATTGTTTAGTCTGGTAAATGACTGCACCAAAACTGAAACTTTTCTATCTTTGATAAATATTCTGTGATTTTAGTAAGTTAGTGCTTTCATCATGTTCAGAGGCAACATTAAGACCATTTTGAGGATTAATATACTTATTGTATTAATACCACCAATTGAAAATTTCAAGCAGAAGGCAAAGTGTTCAAAAATTGTTCCATGCTACCTTTTTTTTCCCCTCTTTATATTTTTGCATTTTACTATAAACTGGTTTTCCCACCATCCATCTAGTTCTAGACAAAATTTTCCTACAAGTAATTCTGCCAACTTTTACTGTCAGAATGAAGGTGCCTTGATTATCAAAGTGTTTAAACAGTTTTAATCAAATATTTAATAATCCATGCACCCTTTTCATTTGTTCTTCTATCTCAAGATAATGGGACTATGGTATTGAAATACCTTGTATCACGTGTTTTGTTCTGAAACCCAGTAGTAATCTATAATATCAAGTTCCCCACAGAATAACAATCATATCAGCCTGCACATGGAGGATGTTTTAGGATTTTTTTACAGACTATGACTCCCATACCCCATCTACATTTTCCCTTGATCTCTCTATATAAGTCTCATTGATGTTAAGGAATTGTATATAGATTATAGAAAGGAAACACCTACTTGTGCATTATAATTGGTGAAAAAATCTCTTTGCTTCTTTTGTACTTTTTTAGTCTATGTGAAAGTCATTTTCATACTGAAGTTTGTCATTCTACATATTAAACCAAAAATTGAGAATTTTATTTTACCATACAAGTTTAAAAAAATAATTCTGTGTTTTACCTATTTCATTTTTTAGCAAAAAAAATAATTCAGTGCTAAAGATCCATATCCTTCAACACTTTCTGTCTTTTTCTGTCTTTTTCTCCTCCCTATCTCTTCTATTGCTCCTTCTCTTTTTCTTCTTCTTGTCTATCCTAAGATCTAAACTTCAATATTTACGTGTTCTCACAAATTTCTTAGTGTGCAAGTTCATGAACCTGAGCGGAGTTTTTGTATGCATGTTCAAAGTGAGTTGTACCTTATATTATTGTGTTGTTGTACCAACATAAATCTGATGTTTTTATGCTAAAAATATTGAAAGGGACATTCAAGCCTAAGTGTAAAAATATGCCTCTGTTCTAGAAGTTTATTAAATCTTGAACCTTTCAGATGCATTGTTGTCGCTGTGATTAATTAGCATACTGTTTGCTGTTAGATACATAAAAAAAAAACCACTTGTCAATTACACTGTGATCAAAGGCTTACTGTAATTGTTCAGTGTTTAATTTCCGGTTGTAATGGAATTCTCCTTTCTTTTGAAAAATCAAGCCATAAAACGTCTGTTCGTGTGAATGTCCCATTAAATATTGGTATGACCGAATGTTGAGAATTTCCAGCACAGGACGAGATTACAAATCCTTCCACCAATGTGTTCAAGGTGTGAATATTAGTTTTATTAATGTTTAGTTCGGACTTTTAATACTTTGCATGTGGTAAAATTTGTTAAAAAAAAGATCAACTTCATAATTTAGCAACATGACCTTATGTAAAAAGTTCACTAACCATTATCATACTTCTTGGAAAATCAAGAAATAAAGTGTGCATTCCATTCAATGTGTATTGAGAGTGTGACTGAATACTAACCCATGGGTAGCTATCAACTGGGTTGCTAATTAACTCATGGGTATCGAGGCTCGTCAAGCGTTGTGAAATCTATGTGTAAAATGCATTGCTGGCATTTAACAAGAGTTTCATATTATATATAATCATTGGTGAATTAATTATGGACGGTATGTGGGGCATCATTATAATGTCTTGTATGTTGATTGTGTTTGAATGGCACAGTGTGTTTGTGTATGGAAAAGAATGTATCATGCAATATTTCAATTTGTGATCACTTAATTGTGTATTTATACTGGTAATTAGATCACTTGTGATGAAAAATAAATAAATTAAAAAA